AGATACTGTCTTTTTGCCCAGGGCAAGCCTCAGACTATGATTCTTCTACCTATGGCTTCCCAAGGAACTTTTATCACAGATGCATACCACCATACCCAACCTTGAGTTGAGATGGGGTATCACTCACTCACCAAAACCAGAATCCTCTTAACTCTGCCTCCCAAGTAGCTGGGATTACAGGTGTAAACCAACACACCGAGTTTGTTTTAGATTTTTAAAATTTATTTTTTGAGACAGAATCTGACCTGTCTCTACCTTCCAAGTGCTAGGATTACTGGTGTGTCTCACCACACCCAACTAACTTCAGGTTTCTTTGACCTAAAGATATTTTTATTCTGTCCTGTGGCTGTGGATAAACAGCTATTATCCCCAATCTTATCTATCCAACCACCTCCTGAACTCTGATGGTTGTACTCAGCTATTTTCCTTTTATTCTACACAGGTCAGAATTTGTATTTCTCACTTTCCTGGTGGTCAAGATAATGAAGCACATAAATTCATACTAGAGTGCAGTGACAGCCACCTGTAGTTCTCCATTCCACTTCCCTTCCAGAAAATTGGCATTGAAAAGATCCATAAACCCAATGGAATTTTAAATTAATTTCTGGAAACTGAACAAAGGACAGAATGTTCTGATATAATGCGTGTCTCTGTAAAATAAGTGAACTCAAAGTCAATTGGTAATTAGAGAAATGTTGCCAGTATACAATGTGGAAGCTGGTTGATTCATCTGTGATTATTCCTATCATTAATATTTAGCACAATATTTATTCCACTGATGCAGTGTAATACAGCAAGCCAAAGAGGGATGTTCTGCATACTAGATTCTTCCTGTTGGCTCTGTTTGTCCACATTTGCTTAGAAATATTAATTATGCCTTCCCCACATCTTTGTAAGTTTTCCTTAGTTCCTTCCATCAAGCCATCTTTACTTCTGTTTACTGCACTATTTATTAGCTATGTAGCTTTTTAAACTATTTTTATTATAATTAGTATTGATTTTTTAGTACTCTCAATTTCAAAGTTATGTGGGTTTTGATGGTGCACCCACCCTGTTACCAGTTTTGTTATTGTTGGTAAACAATTTTGTTGATGGTGAAGATTTTTCACAAATACATATGTTTCATCATTGCAGGAAGGCCTGTAAAACATTTTAAAAAGTACAGAGGTGATTTCCTTCCATCCCATTTTCCTTTTGTGTTCATTTTGCAGAAGTCATCCTGCAAATAAAAGGAGTGCTTTTTCCCTTGCATCTGCGTGTATTCGGTCTGCTGTAAGTCTTTGAAGCTACTCAATCAGCTGAAATCATTAATTTTCCTCTACAGTTGTTATCAATATGATGACGATTCTAAAAAAGTAAAAATTGGTAAAGTTGGCTAAAAGGATGGGATCAAATCAGGTACCCATCCATGTGAGAAATCTGGAACCACATTTTGTAGAAAAGGGGACAGGTTCAGTCCTCTGGACTTTTTTCTTACCTACTCATCCTCAGAATTTCTGTAGGTGTATACCAGATATTTTAAATTTTTATATATTTATTATATTTTTTGTAGAGATGGGTATCAAACCCAGGATCTCATGCTTCAGCCCCCCAAAAAGTATTTAATATGCCAAAAACAATTAGGAGAGACCAAGTTTACATAAATTTCATCAAAACATATAACATTTATTATAAGGGCAAGGATAAATAAGAAAAAAATTGGAGCATAGAGATGAATCCACATATAAAGCTAAAGAAAAAGAACAAGTGAGGCATAAACGTGGCTTGGTTTTCTAGTAGCCAATGTGAGGATTATCTATTATCTATCAAACATGCTGTGTCTATTATGAAACCAATCATGTGTTTGGAGGATAATGATTTAATTTTGGAACTAGTCTATCAGAGAGGAATTTTTCCTGAGGACTTCATTATCTAGCTGATGATGTAAACAGTATGTTTGCACTTGGGAGAAGTTTTAAAGATAAGCAGGCTGCCTTTTCAACAGTTTTAGCACAGGTAAGATATAATTGGAGTAAAAAGTCTTGCAGGCTCAAGAACAAATGCAAAGTTTTGAAGTAGGTAATTTTATTTTTCCTGTTGTACTTTAGTTCTTTGAGGGCAGGATGTGCTTATTTACCAATGCTATACAGTTGGTATTTAGGAAACCATCAAATGAATGAATGGACGCATATGGGAGATGCACATGGGGGAGGAATGGGCATCTTTTTTGGTGCTTCCTAAAACTCATCTTTTCCTCAGCACTGGGTAGCATGGAGTTCATGAGAAGGTAACAAGGACTGGCTAGGAGCAAAAACTTAGGCAGTTGTCTGCTGCAGGTTCTTTTCACAGTCTGTCCATTTTCAGTGTCCCTTTCAAATTCATCAGATGCTTTTCAGCTCTCTAGTTCAAGGCCAGCTCTGGGCAAAACTACAAGACCCTATCTGAAAAATAAACTAAAGGAAAAAGGGCTAGGCATGCTTCAAATGCTAGCCCTGAATTCAATGTGAATTTAAACCCCAATACCACCAAATATAATAATAAAATAAAAAAATTCAACATCAAGAATTATGTATGTCACCTTAGGCAAATCCATCAGTATCTATGAAAATGTACGTGTTATATGAAGATAATTACCTGCCATTCCTAACACCCAGACCATCCCAATGTATTGTTTATTTTTCTTAGTTTATCTTATGAAAGTTATCTGTTTGAAGGCAGAGTCTATGTGCTTTTGGTTTGTATCTTAAATGCTTACCACAATGATTATTACATTGTATATTCAACAAAACATTCATTGGTCCAATGGAATTAATGGCAACATTTGGAAAATGTCACAGGGCTAAATAAAATGTGAGCTGTCTGAGGGAAGAGGATAGAACTTTACCATGTTTTCTCTTTTTTGGGCTTGGAAGTCCTGCCTGTGGTCCTAATATCCCCAATCAGTATTTGTTCATAAAAGCAAATTGAATAGTGCCTGGATGTTGACACATCATATACTTTCATCCTCTGGAAGTCCTCATCCAGGTCTTGGTTTTCCTTTGGATGATCTGCTATCAATGGTCACACACTGCTCCTCATGTACAGCCTTGCTGATCAGCAATACCTATAAAAAAACAAACAAAAAAAATGTTGATGTTTATTCTGTATCCAACTGCTCCAGGTTTGCCTAGCTTTTATGTAATGACAGTACTGAGAAGCTACTGAGAAATTACAAACCAGGCACTATATGGTTTACCTGTACTCACACAATGTATGCGCCCATGTCTATGGAATAGGCACTATTGTTTTTTCATTTTGCATTTAAGAACTTTGAAGGAAAAAAAAACCCAAAAACAAAGAGGCTTAAGCTCAAGGACAGACTACTGAGCAAATGTACAGCTGAGGGTTGTGTGGCTCCAGAGAGCAAGTTCTTAACTACCATACTCTGCTGCCTCTACACTGCTTTATTAGCTGTATTTTTACAATTCATTTTTCCTTGAGAAAGAGTAACAAAGATTTTGAAACATACTTTGCTTAATTATGAAATACCTATCCTTTACTTCCAGTTTCCCAACTTTTAGCTGTTTTTTATGAGCTTACATTGGTAATGAGAATTTTGTAATATTCATAAATATGTAAAAAAGAAAAGGAATTTGGAAAAATGCTTTCATTTGGCCATATAGTAAACTGATTACGATACCCAAGTTTAAACAAAACCACCAAAAATCTCAAAATTGCAAAAAATCTGATTTAAAATATATAAGGTTCCAAAATACGGAGCTGTTTTTTTGTACCTCCAGCTTAAACCAAGCCCAGTGTCCTGTATTTGTAGCATTTATACAAGTTAACTATCTTGACATCAAAATGGTGATCATTCTAACTATATTGTTTGCTATTATTTTGTAAAACTGAGGATTTTGTACATGTATGCTTCCCTTCCTAACAGACCTCATGTTTAAAACAATACTGAATTTTAGCAAATTAGTTAAACTTAAGTACTTTAATATGAATGAGTAAAAGAGCAGAAAATGGCAAGGTTACAAGAAATAAAATGTTTGAACACCATTTTTCACTTTTTCTATTAGCATATAAAAGCTACTAATATGTAAAAACCACACATTAATCATAGTTTGAATTGTTCTGAAGCTGTGTTCTGAAGAACTGACAATATTAAAAAAGCAAAAGCATTGTAACTCACAGACAGTGCACAGACCTCAAGATTTCAACTATAAAAACTGAGAATGCCAATTTTATTTGCCACAGAGTTGAGGGAAACATCAGTGAAATAAATTTGATAACATGACTCACACTTCATTATAAGTGATTTTCTCAAATTCACACTTTTCACATTTGGCTGAGCTAAAAAGATAAAAAACACAAAATAAAAAACCCAGAAAAGGAACTTTCTCTAGATATAAGTGGGCCAAATCATATTATCTTTCCAAATGCGAGTCTAAATAAGTACACTTTTTCTAGCTGGAAAACATTTTCTTTAATGTAGTAGTTTAAATAATGTACCCATGATAATGAATAAGCCTTTTGAGTTAGATTCAGAAGCCTCCTCCATCAGTCTGTTTCATAAGAATTAAACAAATATTTATTATGGAACATACATGAAGCAGGTTCTTGGTTCAGTTTTAAAATAAAAGACAACAATTTCAAAATCCATACTATTTCACTGTCTTTTACATCCTCTTCTCCTGTTACCTTCTGAATTTCTTGTGTATGCTGTAAAATTACATAAAATAGCAAGAATAAGAAGAGGGCAATTTAAACTACTACTTCTTCTCCCCTTCATCACCAGTAATTAACTTTATTTAGAAAACAGCTAGAATAAATATCACAGGCTACAGGCACCTAGGAATGGAGGGAATGCAGAGATTTGAGAAAATATGGCTCTGTAGAGATATTAAGTCATAGTAGAACTTTCTGGGGTTTAATTGAACCCTTAAACCTTTTGTCCCAGCTTCAGATTTAGGTAAGGTGTGAGGTGTCAGGTTTGTGCATGAACCATTTATCAAGTAATATTTTCGTCTGTGTGGTTTTTTTTTTTTCCCCCGAATAAAATAAAAGAAGTGGAAATACAAGTGCTTGGTACCATATGGTTTTGAGACTTAAAAGCCCATTATTAAGCAGGCTGTATCCACCGTGGGGTGGAGAAGGACACTTTTTAAATCACCATCGCTAGGGCTTTCCTCAAAAGGTGCCTAGGAACCTCCCCAGGAACCAGGAGGGAAAAAGAGACAAAGATATGCCCCCTACTTGCACACAGACTCTCCCTTTCTCTTCTGACCTCCCTAGCCTCTCCCACGCAGGCGAAGCTGCCTTGCGGTGGGGGTGGCTGGGAGAAAGGGCAACACTCAGTCCTCCATGGCAAAGTCTTTGGTCTTTTCCTCTTGGTCCCCCACTTTGTAGCGCAGCTGCACGTGCAGGCGACGAGGGTTGTCCCGGGAGGGCAGCAGAGCGATCTCTCCTGACACCTCAGTATCTTGCTCCACCTGCACGGGCTCGTTCAGGTAGAGGAGAGCCTGCTTCCAGTGCGTGGCCGGGTGGAAAGGCGAGGTGGACAGCACCAGGGGTTTCTCTGAGTCCCCCCCCGGGAAGGTCACCTGGAACCAGATGGCAAAGCCGTGCATGGGCGCTGAGCCATAGCAGCTGCAGCGGAAGCGCCCGCCCACCCCGGCCTCCAGCTCCTGCTCCAGGCCGACTCGGGCCAGCTCGAGCTGAGCAAAGCGCTGCGGCCGGGCCAGCACGTCCTCGCCGGACAGCCCCTGCACCACGATCTCCGAGTGGCCCATGAGGCAGCGCGTGGCGAAGCTCTCCAGGCAGCTCATGTCCACGCCGTAGTGTTGCTTCACCTGGCTCCAGAAGCCTAAGCGCCATTCCAGCATCTGGTCGCTGATGGGGGCTACGAAGAGCTCCGCCGAAGCCGGCAGAAGCAGCCCGCCCTCCTTCAGCCACTTGGTCCGCGCGTGCAGCACGGAGCTCAGCATTGACTCGTGCAGGAGTCCGTAGCCCATCCACTCGCTCACGATGGCGTCCACCTGCTCCGGCAACTCCACCGTCTCCACCGGGCCTGGCAGGACGTGCACCCGGTCCTCCAGCCCGTTGAGCCGCACCACCTCCCGGGCCTGTTGCCAGATGGCGCTGGCCTCCACGGCGTACACGCGCCGAGCTCCGGCCTGGGCACAGAAGACGCTCAGAATGCCGGTGCCCGCGCCCACGTCCAGCACCGTCTTGCCTCGTAGCGCGGCCCAGTTGCGCAGGATGCCCAGGCGGTAGGCGTCGGTGCGGACGCGGTCCGCGATCATCTCCTCGTGGACCGACACGTCCGAGTAGCACTCGTAGTACAGCTGGTCTCGCTCGCGCTTACTCCTCCGGGGTCGTGGCACAGCCGCTTCCTGCTCCCCGCCATCTTCCTCTTCAGCTCCCTCCCCTCCTTCTCCGCCGCCCCCCGACTCAAGCTTTCTTTTCTTGGTCTGCGACATCTTGGCCGCTGGGGCCGACTCCCGACAGGCTTTGCGCGGCGTGGCGGGGGACTCTGCGCCCCCGGGGCTTCTGGGACTTGTAGTGCGCGCTTCCCCATCCCGCGGAGGCGCGGGTGAATGCCAGCCCACGTGGCTTATTGTGCTACCCTGGTGTTTAGTTCTCCTCCCTTTCCCACCCACCGCAACTAGGTGCTGTGATTGAGTTCTCACTCCTTCCTGTGGATGTTCAGTTGCGTCTTGCTCTTATGCTCTTCCTGAAGCAGGCTCGCCCACGTAAGACTAGAAACCCCACCTATCTGGGCTGCTCACCTCGCAGGCAAGCGTTAGGCCCCACTCTTAACTCCCTCCCTGGGAACTGGTCATACAGCAAGCTCTCCCCGAAGTGGTGGTTTAGAAATTGCATGACAAGTAGTTTTGTTTTCAGTGGAGTTAGGATACAAAGAAGGTGTAAATGGCACAAAGTAAAAATCTAACAATGAGAAATCTTGGTTCTGATTCTAAGGTGACCACTAATGAACTGGAAGGTTTAGTTCAAGCAGTAGCACCTCTCTGACCTTCACATAGCCACTCACCCAACAGCAACAAGGCATCTTCGTTGCAGTTGGAGAAAAATTATGTTTCCAGTCTCTATTTCAGGAGAATGGTACTTTGCTCTGGGTCGTGCTCTGAAAATTCTGTGGCCTAGTCAAGAGTTGAATCCTTGAAGGGGGCAAATTAAAGAATAGTTAACAGAGCAGCAGTGGTGTGAGGTCATCAAACTTACCGCCTGATAAATTTGTAACCTATTAATGATTTTTCTGGTAACCTGTTATTATTTTTTCTCCCAGATTTTTGATCACTTTTGTACAGTAACTCACTTTTTACCTCTGTGTGTATAATTATATGAGCGAGATTGGTACATACTTCTTCCTCTTCTATTTTTTTTTCTTTAAAAAAGAAGAAGAAAACCCATCAGGTGTTAATCTCTCTTTGTTGTTCACAATGGAAATAAAATACTTTTTTAAATGTATGATTGTATGAGTCCGTTTTCTTCATAAGACGAGAACAACATTTTCTCCCAAATTAAAACAGAAGAAAATGGGCTTTTATTTTCTTGTGGTCTCAAAATATTTCTATTTAACCAACGGCCATGCTACATTCTTTGGTGGTAGAATTCCTTCATTCTTTTCTCTGTGTTAATTTTTATTAACAGGATGGGTTTATTGATGTGTTACCCTTACCTGTATTTCTAACTCAAGACTTAATTTGGGCTGTTCGCTAGAGTTCTCCAAGGACCTATGCCTGGGTCCACTCTGACCAATTAAATCAGAACCACTCCATTGGAATCTGGGCATCTAGTTTTCAAAATCTCCCTTGGGAATCTAATATGCAGCCAGGTTAGAACTACTGTTTCTTACTGAAAGTGTCTTAGTTAAATTTTGCTTTATTATTCTTGGTAGGTAAATTATACTATATTTTTCAATGGCCTGGGTTCACCCACTTACAACTAAAAATCTTTAAAGCATTTGCCTTTTTCTTCCTTCCCTAGTTTGATACCTTGTTTTTAATAAAGCAGAGACCCAGAGCAGGACAGTAATTGGAGCTGTAAATATGAAGACTTAATGAATTACTTTTAGGCTTTTGATTTAGTGGATACTTCTCCCATTCTTTCCCCAAAGTATCATCTTCTCTTTTAAAGTTGTTTTCTTGTCTACCCAATTTTCAATTCACTTCTTTGTGGTCCCTTTCAAGAAAATTCTATGAGTTCTATTGTGAACACTCTGATCTAATCTTCCATCTTCTCTTGCCTGGAAATCAGTCTCTTAAGTCTGAAATAAGTCTCTTCTAAGTTCTAATCACACCCCTATGTAATCCCTTGTCCACTTAGCTTCAGGCATAAGCAAACCAAGTAAGATCACACCATTCTCCAGTAATTTCCCACTCCAATTACTGGAATAATCTAGTAACTTCAAATAATTTCCCATGTCGTCTCATGGAAGTGTTCCAAACTCCTCAATGGGCTCCAGAGCTATTGGCCTTCTAATATCATGCTTCTTTCCTGTGTCAGGTCCTCACTTACGTACAGCTGGTGTATGGAAAATGGCTTTTCACTTTGATGGCTTCTCATCCTTCCATTCTCAATTTAAATGTTACCTCCTGAGAAAGGTCTTCTGTGGCTAGTTGAAATAATTAAAGACACCATTTGCCACTCATAACTTTTATTTTTATATGTATTTAATTAATTAATTAGTTAATTAGTTAATTATTGGTTTTGGTGGTACTGTGGCTTGAGCTTAGGTCTTCAAGCTTGCTAGGCAGGCAATCTACTACATAAGTCACATCCCCAGCCCTTTTTGTTCTAGTTGTTTTTGAGAAAGGGTCTTGCTTTTTGCGCAGGCCAGCCTGGACCCCAATCTTCCTATTTATGCTTTCTGCACATGCTGGGATGACCGGCCCACACCCAGCTATTGGTTGAGATAGGGTCTCCAGAACTTTTTGCCCTGGCTATCCTTGAACTTTGATCCTCCTGATCTCTACCTCTGGTGTAGCTAGGATTACAGGCATGAGCAAGGATACTTGGCCTGTTTGTTTTCTACACAGTATAAAGTCCAGGAGATTTGGACTTTTGTTTTCATAGTATTACAATGCCCAGCACTAGAACAAAGCCTGGCACTCAGAAAGTGTTCAGTTAATAACATGGAATGAAGACTATTGTGAATGTACAATCAAATTGTTATTTGAAAGAAAATTTACAGTCCCCTTTTTTTAAAGTAATGATGACAATGTGACTGGTAAATTCTGAGACAAATTCAAGTGTAGATTGAATTTAGGGTGGTCCCAAAAATGGAAATAATTTCATTCTTTTATTTTTTTTCTTCAGTACTGGGGTTTGAACTCAGGGCCTATACTTTGAGCCACTCCACCAGCCTTTTTTGTAATTTTTTTTTTCTAGATAGGGTCTCAAGAACTATTTGCCTTGGGCTGGTTTTGAACCTGGTTCCTCCTGATCTCTGCTTCTTGAGTAGCTAGCATTACAAGTGTGAGCCACTGATGTCACGGCAATAATTTCATTTTTAAAAATTCTTCTAGATAGAATGATGCAAAGCATAGCCAGAAAAGAGAAGAGAAGGCCCTTTGCTCTTCCGTATCGATACTTTGGCTTGATATGGATAGGAAGTTTGCTACTGATCTATTCCACCACACTGAGTAGAATTAGTCCCCTAAGCACTGCAGCTCAGCCTGGCCCCTCTCTGGCTGGATGGGAGAAGAGTTGGAGTCATGGTGGCAGAGCCCTTTTTGTGTTTTCTTTCCAGTGGAATACTCCCCACATGTCTTCCATGCTCAAACCCAGTGTTTCTCAAACAAATGGATCTTGAAATCAATGTAGTACACCTGGGCCAGCAACAAAAAAGATGAAATAGATGAGAACACATAAAATGTGCCAGATGAGTGAAGGTAGAGTTTGTTTCACAACAACCAAGTATGCTGCACACATGTGCTATGTGTGTAGTTCTTGCTGGAGATTAGGGTTGAAAATGTTGGCATCTGTAGCTTACTGTTGTCCTAAAACATGGTAGAGCTTGACATCTATATATCTTTGTGTTGGGTGCTGGTACTCTTTTGTCTTCATTGCCATCTTTTCAGATGATGCTCAAACATTATGTATTTTTCAAGTTTTCAACCATTAACTCTTTTCACTGATTCCATTATATGCAAGTTCTTTTTCCCCCTGGATTGGTGTTTAAACCTGGGGCCTCATGCTTGCTACGTGGGCAGTCTACTACTTGAACCATGCCCCTAGCCCTTTTTGTTTTTGCCTTGGGTTGGCCTTGAACATGATCCTCCGACCCATGGCCTCCTGTGGCTGGAATGACAGGTATACATCACCACACCTGGCTTTATTGATTGAGATGGACTCTCCCTAACGTTTTGCCAGGGCTTGCCTCAAAACTGAGATCCTCCCAATCTGCCTCTTAAGTAGCTGGGATTATAGGCATGAGCCACCACATCCAGCCCTGTATCAGAGTTTTTATATATCTGGCTTTTCCATGTGAACACCAAGATTTTCTATTTTTCACTTTTATATTGAGAACCATTTCCACATTTCAGATGGTTGATTCTGGAATCCCAGGATCATAGATATATTTTACATGTGTAGGATAATCATGATTAATTTTCTGCATTGCCTGCACTCATTCATTAGTTCTGTCATTTATTTATTTAAAAAAGATTCTGGAACTCTACCCTGCACTCAATATTATTCTAAAACCGGTACATACTATTTATCAAAAAAGACAAGAATTCTTGTCCCTGCCAGAGGAGCTAATATTTTCATGTTAATGTCATCTATTATTCTTATACTTTCTTACTAGCAAATGATTACACCACTTAAATCTTAACACTCACTCTTGTACTATTTTAATGTTGGATTTGCTGATGCAGTTTCCTCCCACAAATACTTATTTCTAATTTCTCTTTAATTTGAAAACCGGAAGTTTAAAAATGCGTTTAAAACCTAGTATAAAGATTTAAGATATTTCCTTCAGGGTTTGAAGAATTCATTGTAATTCTCAAAGTGTATGTTGAGAAAGGATAAAAAAGCGATGACATGAAAAAAGTTATAAATATCTCTGTGATATGAATGTTCATTAAGTGAAGTGACTTTTACCATTCCACAGTTACTAGGAAGTTGCCAGCATAGAAAGAGACACTTCTGTCAAGAAAATAATTCTTTGGAGAAAATAAAGACAAAAGGTGAAGATTTTTGTATTTAAGCAAATTGCAACATCAAACCTAAAAATCTTAGGTGTACGCTATACTTTTGTCTTTTATATCCATGGTGTATTAATGTAGCTACTAAACCCAGTAGTAAAACAGATGAATAATAAATTTACAACTACCCAATAATGTTATTATGGATGGGTGTAATTCTCTTTTAAAAAATGTTTTTATTGAATTATTTAGTGTGGGATATTATTAACTTAAGCTATAATTATCAATTCAGTTTATATTTCTTGATGTCTTAGAGTATTGAATGTAACATCTTAATAATTTCAAATACAAATTTTGGCTAGGGAATTTTGACAATTTCTGTTATAAGT